TCAGGTGCTCTAGATGTAATAACAGGCTGTGGTGCGTTCAGGTGCTCTAGATGTAATAACAGGCTGTGGTGCGTTCAGGTGCTCTAGATGTAATAACAGCTGTGGTGCGTTCAGGTGCTCTAGATGTTATAAAAGTGTGTTGTGCGTTCAGGTACATAAGCTTCTGATCGTGGTGGAGCTTCTTCTCGGAGAGATTCCTGACCGGTTGCAGTACACACAGCTGATACACCTGAAGAGGTCTCTGATGCCGTACTTCCTACTGACTCAGGGTCAGTACACACACACTGATACACCTGAAGAGGTCTCTGATGCCGTACTTCCTACTGACTCAGGGTCAGTACACACACACTGATACACCTGAAGAGGTCTCTGATGCCGTACTTCCTACTGACTCAGGGTCAGTACACACACACTGATACACCTGAAGAGGTCTCTGATGCCGTACTTCCTACTGACTCAGGGTCAGTACACACACACTGATACACCTGAAGAGGTCTCTGATGCCGTACTTCCTGCTGACTCAGGGTCAGTACACACACACTGATACACCTGAAGAGGTCTCTGATGTTTCTTTAAATACAGTCCGTAGATGATAGTGTAATGATTGATAAATACAGTCCATAGATGATAATGTAATGATTGATAATGAATGAAACCTTAAAGTGTGACGCTCTGACCCGGCAGCGGTGCGGATGGGGAACCTGGCGAAGTTCAACCAGGTGCTGGAGGAGTTCGGAGAGAAGTTCCAGACGGACGGGACGTACACTCTGATCATCCGCCTTAGACACAACGTCATCAAGACCGGTGAGCCAATCACAGCGCAGCTCCCGCATCACAAGCTGCTGTTCATCACTGCACTGTTCCAATTCTATTTCTAACATTTCAATCATATTCAATGTAAATATTGCTTTATTTTAATATGTTGTAAGGTTATAATAGTTTCTTCAAGTTGTTCTCCATGTGTTTTTATTTTTTGTCTTATGTACGCACCACGACACCAAGTCAATCCCTTCTTCAGTGTGTGTTTTCTAACGTGTGTGTGAGCAGGTGTGCGTATGATCAGCCTCTCGTACTCTCGTATCTCTCTGGCGGACATCGCTCAGAAGCTGCAGCTCGACAGCCCCGAGGACGCAGAGTTCATCGTCGCCAAGGTAACTGGGGAGGAAACTCTTAACCTGTTAAGCCTGAGAGGGCCCTAATCCGGATCCGGCGGGTTTTTCTTAAACAAAACTGTGTCTCAGGGCTTCTTAATATTTAAAAACCTATGAATGTGTCATACTCACTTAACGGTTAGAAATTCAGCTACCTGTAGATACGAACCATTTTTACCGAAACAAAACACAAGTCTCACAAGAAGCGTCTAAATGAGCCCTTAGTGGAAAAATGCTAACACAGTTAGCACAGAACTCACGGTAAAAATACCCTTAGGCGCGTTCACGTCCCACAAAGGTTCATGAGAACTCTTTAGCTCTCATGAACTAAGTACAGATCGCGTTCACACCGGAATAAGTCCCTGAGGGAGGATTAGTCAAATGAAGCCGCTGGCGGCTTCACAAGACCTTTTGGGAGTTTTACTGGGCGTGGTTTGCAATCCGCCCAGCCAATCAGACGTAGGAACCTTTTTCTCCCACAAAAGTACCTGCTCTCTAGCAGGGACGGAAAAGGGGGTAAAAAGGTTCTCATGAACTTGTTTCTAGTTCCGGTGTGAACGAAACATTTCGGAACTATATCGGAACTAAAGTGGGAAAAGTACTGCCATCACACCACGTAGCTTTACGGAGCATTCACAGGAGATCGTCTCACCGTAGCTGTTCTGATCAAAAGTCGTGTTCGATGGCATTAAAACGATAAAAGCACGGCTGAAGGTTAATCCAATGTGTCTGTCTCACTTTGAAATGATTCCTGATAATCCATCTTCATATTTATGTCAATAAACGGACTTTTCATATTAGCTGCTACGATGGCTACCTGTTTTGGGCATTCTGGCTATGCATCACTCATTCACCAATGGGTCATGTTTGGATGGATTTAGGAGCTTCCCCCTTGATTCCATTGGCTCTAACGGTTAGAAAGAGATGTCAATCATCAAATCGACCAATGGGTTCCGGAGAAATGGAAAATGCACCCAAATGACCCCAGAAGTGTTTTTTTTGCTAAACCTCTAGAAAGGTCAAATTTCACTTGTTTTGCATCAATCTTGATACAGGGTACTTATTATCTGTTGTACTTTGGATTCCTAAAGCTTTTAGTCTACTAACCCATCATCCAAGGGTAGTTTTCACTATAAGTAAAAAAGAATCTTTGGACGGACACAATAATTAACATTTTTTTACTATGTTCAATCTGAATTGTCTTTAAAATAAAAAACATCTCTATTGATTCTGACTCTTCTACATCCAACTCACAGGTTTATCATTACTCTGAGAAAAAAGATTATTAATTTAACCCTTTTAGAAGATATGGTCATTTGTTCTGGGAATGTCATTTTGGAGCCTGAGACCTGAAAAACAGGCTCAGGGCTTAACAGGCTAAAGAGAAACTGATCAATGATTCATAAAGTGAGTCTTCAGGTCTATTTTTAATAAAGTAACAAAGAGAGTCAATGTAAAGTGAGATGGATCTGAAGC